AGTAGGCGGGCCTCTCACTGTTGTGGCCTCTCCCGCAGCGGCCGTGGCTCACGGGCCCAGCCGCTCCGCGGCACGCGGGATCCTCCCGGACCGGGACACGAACCCGTGTCCCCTGCATCAGCAGGCAGACTCCCAACCACTGCGCCACCAGGGAAGCCCCTGAATTGTCTTTTATCAATTCCCACTGGAATTTCAGAGGGAGAAACACATTAGCTGCCACTTTGCATTGCCATCTGCAGGCAGATTTGCTGCTCAGGGTAGTGGAGCCTGGAGGGCAAGGGGCTGTGGAAGGCTAAGTTCTGACAGGATGGGAAGCGGCTCCCCAGATGAACTCAGCCTGATGCAGTTTCCCTCCAGCACGGCTGCTCATTGCTTTGTGGCCCAGGGTTATCAGGTCAGTGTCACTGTGATTTCTGCCCATCTTCCCATCAGTGGCCTTGGTTAATTATGCTTAAAGATTCCTAAAGACGTTGGTGCCATTGTGAGGTGGCAATGCCAGGGACCTGTGTCTGCGAGGCTGATGCAGGAAGGGGTTTAAGCATCTCGTTAGTTATTTTCTCTTCAGTCTTTGATTTCACTCTACAGTGAACCAGGCTCATCTTTTCTTTCTCGTAGGAGAAAATTCACATTCACGCCCTTTTCTGGGGGGAGGAGGGAGGTGATGATCATTTGTCCCGAACAACATGGAGGTTTGTTCTTTGAGTTTCCACCTCGGCACTGCTCACATTGCTCTGAGCCGTTCACCTGTTCACATGGAGGGGGCAGTTGGACGTGTGCACCTGGGGCTTGGAAGGGAGGCCTGGGCTGCAGGTACCGCAGTCTTCGTTTGTGGCTTGCAAAACGGGCTGCCTGGTGGCATTCCAGGTGAGCTGGGGAGTCCTGACAGCGGCCCAGCACCACACGGTACCCCTCAAAGTAGTGTGTGACCTCTAGCCAGTGACGTCGCATTGCTGGCCTCAGGTTCTTCATCTGTAAGATGGGATTGTGGACCCCTGGCAGTTTTGTGGTTCTGTGCTGAACTGAGTGTTGGTTTTGCGTCTTCTGCACATAACGTGACCTTTGCTCCCTCCTCCCCTCCCACCCAGATACATACGTAAAAGACATTCATTCCCCTGGTGGTCCAGGAGAGAAAGTCATCAATGTTTTCCTTGCTTATCCGGAAGACGTGAAGTGAAATGGGGGCTTACGTTGTCTAACAGCCAACCCGCGAATGCATGCACGCTAAAGGGTACCTCCACGTGCTGAGTCAGAAGTCCGTAACAAAATGCTGCGTCCTCACCTCCATCCTGCAAAATTATAGTGTAATGGGGCAAAAATAATTACGTCCACATTTCTAGTGCATTCCATGAGTATTTTCCTGCAAGGATTTTAATCTAGTGCAAAGCTCTCTTGGTTTTTCAGGGGGAAAAAAATCCCCTTTATGGCTCCACCGAAGTGTTGTTTTAGTAACATAATATAGATACCTTTTCAAGCATCTCCAGATATGGTGCAAGAGTGAAATGTGTTGCAAGTGGGGTTTGAAGAGCG